GCTTCCGACGTTGGCTCAGGCTCAGGTCACGATCTCATGGTTTGTGGGTTCAAGCCCTGCATTCGGCTCTGTGCTGATAGCTCAGAGCCTGGAGCCTGCTTCGGATTCTGTGTGTGTGTGTGTGTGTGTGTGTGTGTGTGTGTGTGTGTGTGTCTCTCTCTGCCCCTCCCCTGCTCACTGTCTCTTAAAAATGAATAAACGTTAAAAAAAGATTTTTTTTTTTTTTTTTTTAATGGAGCCTGCAGACCTCTGGCTGTGAGGCCATTGGCAAATCCTTTCCCCTCCCGGAACCTGATGGCCCTCACGCTTAAAATCAAATTTATGGGGGCGCCTGGGTGGCGCAGTCGGTTAAGCGTCTGACTTCAGCCAGGTCACGATCTCGCGGTCCGTGAGTTCGAGCCCCGCGTGGGGCTCTGGGCTGACAGCTCAGAGCCTGGAGCCTGTTTCCGATTCTGTGTCTCCCTCTCTCTCTGCCCCTCCCCCATTCATGCTCTGTCTCTCTCTGTCCCAAAAATAAATAAATGTTGAAAAAAAAAATTAAAAAAAAAAAAATCAAATTTATGAGTGAATGCCCTGCTCTGTCCTCCAGTGTCGGCCAGGGGAGGTTCAGTGAGGGTGGCACACAAGTGGGCACAGCTCTCCAGCTCACGGCCAGCGGCTCCAGCCCCGTTCAGTGGGCTCTGATACTGGGCCTGGGGCCGGGGCAGGGTTGGGCAGCATCCTGGTCTCCTGCTGTGTTGGCTTTATTAGCTCCTTTAGCCCAAAGCCTGCTGAGCTCACCAGCCACTCTGGCCCCACCAGGCAGACTGATTTTGTTTTCTGACTTTTTTTATTCTGCAGCCAACACTCTTTCTAGTTTGGGAGACGAGCATTGCTTTTTGCCTGAGCAGCATCAGGGTTTTCAGTTGCTCGTGGCCCAGTGTGTCTGGGAGGGAATGAACTTGAGCCGCTACAGTGGAGACTGATGGGGGGAGGGGTTGCAAACCCCACATGGCCTGCTTGAGAGACTGTTCTCTGCACAGGAGGGCCCCAGGCAGAGAAGGGCCGTGGCTTAAGCATGTAGGCTCTGGAACCGACCAACTCGTTCAAGCTTTGCTTTCACTGCTTGGGTAACTTCCCTAGCTTCTCTGTGCCTCAGTTTTGCTGTCTGTACAGTGGGGGTGATAAATTCTGAGGAAATACATACAGAGCCCTTGGAACAGGATCCTGCCCGTGGGGTGTTCCTCAAACAGGTTATAGTCCTCGTCCAGAGTATTTATTTTTGCCTGTTAGTTTTTGAAGTTTCCTACAATGGCCACATGTGAATTTTTCTTTCTTTTAAAAAAAAAATTTTTTTTTTTAAGTTTATTTATTTTGAGAGAGAGAGAGCATGACTGGGGTAGGGGCAGATACAGAGGAAGAGAAAATTCTAAGCAGGCTCTGTGCTGACACAGAGCCCATCGTGGGGCCAGAACTCACAAAGTGTGAGATTGTGACCTGAGCCGATATCAAGAGTTGGATGCTTAACCGACTGAGCCACTCAGGCACCCCGGTAATTTTTTAATTGAAAAATTCAGGGGCACCTGAGTGGCTCAGTCGGTTAAGCATCTGACTGTGGCTCAGGTCATGATCTCGTGGTCTGTGAATTCGAGCCCCACATCGGGCTCCGTGCTGACAGCTCAGAGCCTGGAGCCTGCTTCGGATTCTGTGTCTCCTACTCTCTCTGCCTCTCCCCTGCTCGCATGCACTCTGTCTCTCAAAAGTAAATAAACATTAAAAAAAATTTTTTTAAATTATTTAAGTACAAAAGCCGTTAGTTGGAATTAAGGGATGTGATTATTCCCTCTGCCACTCCCTCCCCCCGCCCCCGCTTCGAGTGGGTTGTTTGGGGGCGGGGTGTGGGCACAGTGCTCTGGGAGACTTATCCACTGGACTCTGATTACCCATCTGGGTGCCGGGGACAACCCAGGCCTCAGGGCCTGACCCAGGTGCCCACGGGTGGGGAGCGGGCAGGAAAGAGGGAGCATTCCAAGACACTTGGAAATCCTGAGGACAGAGGCAGGGAAGCACCTGGGGGACGATCCCGGCTCTGTTGCAAGACCCTTCACCATCTGGAAACTCAATTTCCGCACCCCCCCCCTCCCGCCCCCCGAATGGAAGGTTACATAAAATACTATCTGTGGAAGTATCTGCCCAGCACCTGGTGCCCAGAATGTTATCACGTGTTACTATTTTTAAATCATAAACAGTGCCCTGAGATTTTCTCCCAGGAACTGCAAAGCCCTTCTCCGGCGTTGACCCTTCCGGGTCCCTCGCCCCTGCTCCGTGTTTGCACATCACTTGACAGCTTACAGAGTATTTCCATCCACACTACCGCAGTATTTCCCCAGCCCCAGCCACTCCAACCACGTGATTTGGGGCCCAATTCAAGCATCTCCTGTACTGTTATTTGCTCAATATTTGAAATCCACTCACATTTTTCTTTTGCTTTGAGAACAATCAGTATCGATAAAATACCTCAAAAATAAAACAAACGCATTAAATGTGCGCTGGCTCACATTGCCTGCCTGACAGGCTCCTGTTAAAAAGGAGCTGAGCAAGTTGGTACTGAACCCACACTACCTACCGCTTGTCTGAGACTTTCCTTGGCAAGTCGGCAAAGGATGAAAAGAAAAATGAGCAGAGAATTGCTTTCTCATTGCACAACCCATGTTGGTTCGGGCTGTTTAGCGGAGTGTGACCCACATCATCCTGTTCGCTGTGGTGATGTGCGTTGACACTGGGGAAAACACCGTACTAGCCTTTGAACCTCGCAGTGGCAATCCAGAGTGTCAATCACAGTCCCCATTTCCCGGGTAGAAAAACTGAGGCCCGGTAAATAGAGGAATCAGTTCAAGATGAGGTAGCCATGTCAGAACTTGAACTAGAGACTGTGGGGTCTCTGTTTCTTGGGGCCTTGACATGACCTAGAAAGATGGGAGTCTTTGCTCCATGGTGGTCCCCCAGGGGGCCACCTGCAAGTCCCTCACCCCACCCCACCCCCATCCCCAGGTCTGCTCCCAGCGGGGGGTGGGGGGGGGTGGGAAAGGGTGGGCTCGGCAGAGCCAGTGTCATATGAGATGGGATCTGGAGTCTGGAGGAGTCCCCGGAACCCCCAGGCAAACCACCACCATCATCAGATTGGTGGATTCTTTTCAAATGTTGTTGGGGGAGGATGGCATTTGTGGGAACTCCCGGCTTCTCTGCCGTAGGAGAGCACGAAGGAAGATCTGGGCCAGTTCACCAGTTAAGACGAGGCCCCAGACTGTCTCTCTCCCCCAGCTCCACAGTGACACAAACCAGCCTCCCCAGGAACCTTCACATCAAAGGGGAATGACCAGGAGGGGGGGTGGAGAGGAAGGAGTGGGGCCCCCTCGCTCCCTCCGCTTCCTCCAAAGGAGGCTGGGCCAGGGGCGATTTCCGATGGATGCAGAGAGCTGCTCTCAGGAAGGAGGCAGAATCGCAGCCCCGCCTCCCCGTGCACAGCTCTGTCTGAGGCCACTTCTCTCCGGGCCGCCTTCCTGAACACTCGTGTGATATGCTAATAGGTCTGACAAGCTGTTCCCTGGACAGGCATGCTAGCCAGCAATGGAGGGAGGCTGAGTGCTTGGGTCAGCCTTCCCTCCCTCACTGGTTCATTGGCTCATTCAACAAACATGTGAGCACCTACTCTGTGCCAAGCACTGGACACAACAAGAACAACCTGGCCCTTGAGGAGTTCATGGTCTAGTGAAAGTGATAGGCATTGATCTAAAAACTCAGTCACAGCTGCAACTGTGGGAAGGGCAGAGAGGGTGAGGGAGGGGTTATCTGGGGCCAGAAGAGATGGGGAGAGCTGACATGTCTAGGAAGGTATACAGAGGACAGAGGAAGTGATGAAAGCAAAAGAGTGAGTTAACTAGGTGAAGAGGGGAGGGAGGGTGTTCTGGGACGGGCGGAACTGCACATGCAAAGGCCCTGTGGCACAAGAGATCCTGCTCTGTATAAGACTGTGGGAGGAGGCCAGAGTGGTTGAAACACAGAGGGAACAGGGGCAGTGTGCTGCTAGGTGCGGCTGGCCACACAGAGTCTTCAAGGCCAGTTCAAGGGTTTGGTGTCCATCTTAATAGAAATGGAGAATTTGTCAAGGGTTAAAAAAAAATCTTTTTTCAATGTTTGTTTATTTTTGAGAGACAGAGAGGGGGTGAGTGTATGAGCAGGGGAGAGGCAGAGACAGACGGAGACACAGTATCCGAAGCAGGCTCCAGGCTCTGAGCTGTCAGCACAGAGCCTGCTGCGGGGCTTGAGCTCATGGACCGCGAGATCATGACCCGAGCTGAAGTGGGATGCTGAAACAACTGAGCCACCCAGGCGTCCCAAGTCAAAGCTTTTCAAACAGGGAAGGAGACAGGATCCAATCTGCATGTTGAAAAAAATCCTTCTGGCTGCCCTGAGAGGATAGATGGAGGGGCCTGAATGGAATTGTGGGGAGCAAGACAGGAAGGGAAGACAAGTTTTGCAGGTGAGAGGTGGTATGGCTAGGGGAGTGACAGGGGTGGTGGCAGGGGACAGATCTGAGGGATCCTCAGGAAGTCAAGTGTCTCTGACTCCTTGGTGACTACCCACTGGGAGCCAAGAGAGTCAGGGATAAGAAAGAAGAAAAACCTGGGCGTCTGGGTGGCTCAGTCGGTTAAGTGTCAGACTCTTGATCTCGGCTCAGGTCACGATCTCACAGTTTGTGGGATTGAGCTCGCATCGGGCTCTGTGCTGACAGTGCAGAACCTGCTTGGGATTCTCTCTCTACCTTTCTCTCTCTGCCCCTGCCATGCTTGCTCTCTCTCTCTCTCTCTTTCAAAAATAAATAAATACATACATACATACATACATACATACATAAGTAAATAAAATAAAAATAAAGAAAAGAAAAAAGAAAGACCCAGAGACTAACACCATGGTATCGATTCTTCCACACGTGCGGAGAGAAAACCAAGCCCACGTTGTGTGCTACATTCAAATCTCATTTTTCACTCACCCTGCAGCCTTCCTTAGGATAGGGTTCTACATGTGACCGGTTTTTCTTGCATTGTGCCAGTTTGCCGTGCGGAGGATTTCTACCCCTTTGCCCCTCAGGGACATACACCGGAGAAAACTTTCCCAGTACACATAAGGCCAACACGGTTGTGTCCACTGCCTGAAGAAAACGCATATTGACCAAAGGCTATAATGAATTCCACGAATCGTTTAAATGAACCTGTGCCTCATCTGCTCTGAGGCATCCGTGCTTCCGCTTGACATGAGTCATACCTATCTGGGGGAAACACGTAGATTTGAGGACCCCCTTGCCTCTCTGTGAGCCCCCACCCCAAGTCGGAGACAGAGAGATGCCTGGAGAAGTCATTCCCCACGATTGTGCTTGTCTTCTGGCAGAGTGGTGAGAGCCAGGAGGGCTTCTCAGTGGGGGAGACATGGGTAAGGTCGGGGGAAAGATGTGGGGATAAGGCCGGACCTTCAGTGATGTCTAAAGCCAGGGGTGCTCTGTCCTGGGGACCCACCCCCTGGCCATTCCCTGAAGCAGATTGGTCCCTTGGCAGCGACAAGTTCCCTGCTACGACACCTAGTGCAAAATGAAAATGTGGGGCTCCCTTTAGAATTGCTCATTGCAAGTTGGCAGCAACGGAGCATTAAAGCAAGCATGAGGTCCTTCCAAGGACAGGGCCCAGTGTGACTGCACAGGGCACAGGCCCATGAAGCCAGCCTTCCTTGGCGGTCTCTCCCATCTAGAAAAGAGGTGTGTTAGGGGTATGGAGCAGCAGAAAGGAGGTGAGGGACGCCAGCTCGTGGGTGTGTCAGTTAAGAAAGAGCCAAGGGCCAGCCCAACCCAGCGCAGCCCAGCCCAGCCCTGGTTCACTGCCACTGTAGCTGGGACCCTCTGGGGCCTCTCTGAGGCTGCCTGGCAGGCTGACGGAGTGGATGGACAGGGCAGGGGGAAGAAGCAGATGCGGCCAGAGATCCGGCAGACGGGTGCACACAGAACACCTTTGCGGCCACAAGCTTTGCAGAAGAGCACAAAGGCTGATTCAGAGCCAGAGGAAAGGGAAAGGCGGTGGCCAAGGTCACCGTGGGCTAGGGGGTGCAGATCTGAGGGCTGCCCATAGAGACAGGAGAGGAATGCTGAGGTTAACAACAGTGTGAGCAACCGTGGCCCCTCCTGGCTCTGTGCTTGGGCCTCAAAGCCTCCCATTGAGACCGGTGCCATTGTCACCCTTTTAGGGAAGAAATGACAGACCTTAGATGTCCTGCCTCCCACCCTCCCGCTCTTCCTTGTCCACCTCTAGCCACGCCCTGCAAGGGACAGAGGGGGAACAGAGGCCCCGGGTGGTGGGGGACTGGCCACCGGTGGCAAGGGGGGAATCCCAGGGGTCCCCACTCCCAGAGCGGGCTCTGCCTCACGGTGGTTGCCCAGCATCCTTGTGGAGCCCCTACCTGCTCCTCCTCCCTTCCCAAACCGCCGGGGGGCCAGGGGCAGTGGCAGGTGCACGTGTGTGTTCAGGACGTGCAGGGGCTTCCCCTTCTCCCAGCATCTAGAGCCAAGGCTAGCGCCATGGCCATCTCACCTGTCCTGGTCGACCCCCAGATGTTGTCCCTGGCTCCTTGGTTACTGTTTTGGGATCAGCTGTACGGTAGCCCTTCCACTCTATCTGGGTTTGATCGTCCATAGAAAAATTAATGGTCCCTGCAAATAAAGAAGCATAACAACAGAGGAAGGCTTTTTAGACAATCAATTAAAAGCCTAGGAGCGGGATTATCTCATTGAAATATCAATTTTTAATAGCACCGCATCTTTGAGTTTCCTCTCAAAAAACTTTGCACACTCCATCTGCCTGCTCTGGTTTATAACTTCATCTCTTGCTGCCTTTGACCGACCTGAACCTCTGGGACTGGCCTTGGGCCACCCAGAGCAGACACCTGAGACGGAGCACGGAAGGTCATTCATTCATTCGTTCCTCCATTCACTCATTCATTCATTCGTTCGCTGAACACTCAGTGAGGTCCTGCTGTGTGGCAGGCGTAGGCACTGGGGGATACGAAGGTGACTAAAAAGGACCAAGAATTCTAGCCCTCAGAGAATTCACTGGCTGACAGGGGAGCAGGAAGTCAGCACCGGCCAGGTGAATAAATGGGCAATTACAAAAGGAGAAGTCATCCAGAAAAATCAATGTCAAGGGACTGGGATGGAGGTTAATGGGCATAGGAGAGGGAATATCTGTGTGGCTAGAGGAGCCAGGGAAGGATGTGAAGGAGGGGAAGATGTTTCAGGGCAGAAGGAACAGCGTGCCTGCAGACGGGAGGCGGGAACGGGTTTGGGGCGCTGAAGGAGTAAACAGGCGGCCAGTGGGCTGGGACACAGTGAATGAGAGGGACATGGCAAGAGAGGAAGGGGACGCCACGCCGACCTCGGAGGGCCCGGAGGCCGGGGAGGGGCACCTGTTACTTGCAAAGTGCACCAGGAGCCGCTGGTACAGAGGTCCCAGCGTCTGTTCCGGACAGTGGTGGCCCTGGTTCAAATCCTGCCTCTTAGTTGCTGTGACACCTGGGGAAGTTGCTGGGGGCCTCAGCCTCAGTTTTCTCACCCAGTGAGGTGGGAGAATAATTGTGATGCCTCACTGGGCTGCCATGAGCATCAAAAGAAACAAGAGGCCGACTGCCTGGTGTGGCCCCTTTTTTCTCTGTCCTCCTTAGCTTGGCAGCTTCCTCTGGTCAGCCCTTGGGGGGAACGGGGTGATCAGATAAACTTTATCTGGTAAGAGACGCCCACTGGCCAAATCTCCAGGGATTTTGTTACACACATCATTTCAGCCAACAGGGTGGGGTTGGTGGCGGGGAGGCTGTGGTCCAGGAACAGACAAAGCTGCCTTTGCTTTCCAGTGCGACCCCGCTGAACCCCATTCCATCCTGAAATCAAGATACCTGGGCAACTGGGTGGGTGGTCAGGTGGAACTTCCTGAGATTGGACGGAGGGCAGGGGGAGCGGAGCGTGGCTGGGTGGGTGGTACATGCAGGCAGAGGCAGATCCCCGACAAAGGTCCCCACCCCGTACGGACAAGTGCACTGGCCTTCCACACAGACGTGGCAGGGTCCTGGGACAAAAGCGAACAGTCCTGCTGGGAGCTGAACCTCATGCTGGGAGCTTGGCAAATGTGCTTTCTAATCCCTACGGCACCCTATGGTACATCTGTGGAAACTGAGGCCCAGGGAGGCAGAGCTTCCTGCCTATTAGTGGTAAAGGTGAATGCACATCTGTTTGGCTGTGCTGTCTCCAGTTATTATAATAATGGAGGAGGTCAAAGGAGCAAAGGGTCACAACCCTATTAAAAGGGCCCAGGGAGTCCCAGGTCACACTTCGCTCTCTAAACCTCAGTTTACCCATCTAGGTAGTGAGATCCCCAACTCCGAGCTGCCTACCTTAGAGGATGAAGTGGGCTGCTGGATGAGAGAGGGCCTTGCAGAGTCTCTGAAGGGAAGAGGGCTTGATGTCAGAGGTTCTTTCCATCATTAGCTCCCTCCTGCCTCCCTCCTGCCTGCTCTGAACCGGCTCAGCCCTGTGCTGACGGCTGTAGCTGAGAACAACGGCCTTTAGATTTGCCTGGGTTCCAGTCCCGGCCCTGTCCTCTCCTGGCTGGTCCCTTCCCTCTCTGGGCCTCCTTTTCCCCATCATGCCCTTGTGCACCTATATAAACATGAAATGACAGCTGGCGGAGGGCGTCAGCTCTGAAGGACCCTCTCCCTCCCTCCTGGGGAGATCCAGATTCCCAGAGGCAGGACCTGGGCCCTCAGAGCTGGAGGGCCAGGTGTGAGCAGCTTGCCAGGAACTGTCACGCAGTCCCAGGCCACTGATGTAGGTGTGGAGACAGTGCTGGCAAAGCCAGTGGGGATGGGAGAGAGGCCACAGCAAGGGGCCCTTCTGGACTTTATCGTAGAGTCACAGGGACCTGAAACCAAGGCCACTTGGGGCACGTGCTTAAGGGCATGTAGAGAGCACTCCCAGGGCCAGGATGTGGAGTGGGGCTGTATTTGTCTAGCAGTGGGGAGCCACGGCTAGTTCTTGAGTGGGGGAAGGGGAGGCTAGGATGCTCCTCTCTGACTTCAGGAAGCCTGGGAAAGGGGAAAGCCACAGAGGAAGGCTACCTCCTGTGGAAGTGGGGGTGGCCCGAGCACCATGGAGACAACCCCCAATGCAGCTGGGTCTGTGGGGTTGGAGGAGAACTGGGAGGCTTTCCGGGGAGCCCCGCTCCATTGGGAGGAGCCCGACTGGGGCCTGGGAGGCAGCTGGCATCTTGCAACCCTGCAATTAGTAGGCGGAGGAGCTGGGTGGTGGGGGGGGGGGGTGCCGAGAGCTGCAGCTGGTTGATGGGTGCTGCCTCTGCGTCCGAGGTCCCTCCCGCTGCCCCAGAGGGGTGCCCAGGGTGGCTGGCAGGCCCCAGGCAGACAGGGCACTGGATTCTTGGGAGGGAATGCAGAGCATAGGGAAAGCCAGGAAAATAATACTAACAGTAAAGTCGTATTGTTGGACGTGGGTTTGGACAACCCAGGTGCTATTGTCCTCATTTTCAGATCGGGAAATGAAAGCCCAGAGGGATAGAAGCCAGCAGACAGCCAATTGGAAAGAGCTGGGGCCCAATGCCATGTTTATCTGGAGGGCTCGGGCGCAGGGGGGAGGGTCACTCCCGGTACGGGTACGGATCTCAATGCAGGCGACCCTGGGGGCTGCCCAGTAGAGTCGGGTTGGCAAAATGACGTCAGGAGGCCGAGCCTTCAGAGGACTGACTCCAGAGCCCCCAGCCTGTCCCTGCAGGGGGAGGAGGGGCTGGGTGGGGCAGTCTGGCCCAGCCGGTTCTCTAGCCTGTCTGGGCACCCCAGGCCTGTGAGGAGAGGCCTGGCACCACCACCCCTGGGCTGCTGCTGCTTTCCTACTCGGCCCTCTGCCCTGGGAGACTTCTTATCTGACCAGCAGAGAGTCCCATCCAGGACCAGTCCTGCAGGTACTGCAGTGGGGCTGGATTTGGGGGGTGGTTCTGGCTTCAGCCTTCTACCAAGCCATCCATCTCCCTCCCTCCCTGCCTCCCTTCCCTCCCCTTTCCTTCCTTCCTTCCTTCCTTCCTTCCTTCCTTCCTTCCTTCCTTCCTTCCTTCCTGTTCTAGCTTCAGACTTCTATCATATCATCCAACCATCCATCCTTCTCCCTCCCTCCCTCTCTTTCCTGTTCCAGCTCCAGCCTTCTACCATACCTTCCATCCATCCGTCCTTCCTTCCTTCCTCCCTTCCCTCTTTCAAAGATGCCCACTCACTCCAGGCTACCGTGACAGCTGCTGGCAGGATTCTCTGGCCTCCAGGAGCATCTGGTGGGGCAGGCAGGAGAAGCAGACGAGTACACAACCCCTTAAGACTCTAAGAATGAACAAAGTAGGCTGAGCTTTGAAGGACTGGTGGGGCTTTGATGGGGGAGGGGCAAGGCTGGTGGCAGTAGGGGGTGCAACTTGGCTGGAGCTGCAGGGTCTCTGGAGAAGTGGAGTGGGGTAGGGCTGCAGGGGAGGGCAGGGGCTGCACCACGTGGGGCCTTGCCTTGGAGAGGTGGGGTAGGGAGCCGTCCTCGAGAGCTCGGACTCTGGCCTCCGATCCATCGGACCTGGAATGGCAACATCACCACCAACCAGCTGTGTGGCCTTGGGATGGTTACTTGCCCCCTCTGAGGCTTTGCATCCTCGGTGAAAAGTGGGAAGATGATGGTAGTGCCTGCCTCAGCGGGTGTGAAGTGCACGGCGTGGCTCAACACGGTTACCCGTTCTCGGAAGTCACCCCTGTGTTGACGAGGAGCCGGTAAGAGTTCCGAGCTCATGGCTGACACGTGTCCCTGGACTGACTATACCTCACCCTGACCCTGGGCCAGTGTCTCCCCTTCTTGGTCAGTTCCCTCACCTGTTCAAGGAGAGACTGGACCGGACCAGAGGAAAAACCCTCAGGTGCCTCCGGGGGCCGGGCAGTGATGTGAATGAGGTGCACGAAGAGTAAGGCTGCAGGGAGCGGTGGGGACTATGGCCCGCCCAGGTGCCTGTGCCAGGCAGCACCTGCCCCTCCGCCCAGCGGCTGCAGTCACGTGTGAGCGTGAACCCGACATGGTCCGATGTGCCGATTCCTCATGAGAAGGAAACCCTCATTTTTCTGAGAAGCTTCCCATTGTTCATATTAGCAATGCGTTTAATATAGTTTTCAAAGTATCACATGAGCCAAAGCTGCTGCCGCCACCACCGCGAACGCAGGACGAACGGCTGCAAGCAGGGAGGCAGCACATTCCAGGCCTGGAGAATCTTCCAGTTCCGCGTCTGCCCCCCCCCCCCCCGCCGAGACTTTGATCTTCCCTTGGAGGCTGATGGGGGAGGCCAGACCCTCTCCTCACTGCCGTTCTCGGGAGCGGCCCTGCCCGCAGCCAGGCTGGAATGGGGTCCCTGCTCAACACTCTCTCCAGGGGTGCCAGGGAGTCTGGGGAAGCCGGCCTTACCGGCAGGTCTGCCCGGGGCCTGGGGAGGCGGCTCTCAGGGCTGCTGTCAGTGAGGGCCTGGCTCCTGGGGGTCAAAGGGCAGGCAGCATTTCAGCCCCTTCTGGGACTGACTTCCTGTTTGGGAGAGAAAACAGAAAGGCCCCAGCAGGAAATGGGTCTTCTTCCCTTCTCCCCACAGCGCTTTTTCCGCTGGCTCTGGCCTGTGGGGAAAGACCCATGGTGGAGGGAGGGGGGCTCCCCATGGCTGGGTCTCACCCACTCCTTCCTTTGCCCTTGGAGCCCAGGAGGGAACCTGAGGCCTCTCCGCCAAGATAGCAAATCCCACCTCACCAGCACTGCTAGGTCACTGATCACCAGCAGGGCTCCTGACACCCCTTACGGCCCAGCACTGGGGCCTTGGGGGCCCCCTCAGACTGGGCCACAAGAGAGAAAGCACGGGGTGCAGCTCCCCACCACAGCCACAGAGTCTCTTTCCCAATTGAAGGGAACTCCTCTTTGGTGCCAGGCCCCTGCTCAGAGCCACAACTGCTCCTTGCATACCCCCTGAGCACAGGGAACTCACCCCTTCTGCCTGCTAAAACACAATGTTGACGGAGCCTCTTTCTGCAGAAAGCAGGCCTGCTGCTGAGAATTCATCCAAGGGCAGGTGTCTCAATGCCACCTAGACTTGCAGATTCAAAAATGTATGCTATTGTGTTTTGAGTAAGTTTCTACCAGATTTAACGTAAATCTGCTGGTTATAGAGGGTTTAGACATTAAGTATCAAAAATAACATGGAAACTACCTGCAATTTCATTACCTAGAGCAGGGCTGGGATAAAGATACAAGGATTTATTATTTATTGTGTTTACACCTACCTCTGGTCACCTGAACTTCATCCCATGTGGCAGAACCCAGCGGGCAAATCCCCCCTCTCTGGCGCACACCTTCACGTATTTCAATAAGAACTAACCTTTACTGAGCTCCAGATGAACTCATCTTATTCTCACGATAGCTGTATGAGATGTCTAATTTACAGATGGAGAAACTGAGGCTCAGAGAGGTCAGGTACTTCCCCATGGTTGCACAGCCAGGAAGGGGCAGAGGCAGAGATCTGAATCCATCCGGAGCAGAATGGAAGTCTCTTCTCCTCAGATTAGACACACACTGTACCTCTTCCTTCCCCTCATGTGAGCCGGATTCCCGACCATTTAGCAGCTCAGATGTTCATTCATTCATTCTTTTGCATATTCAGTCATTCATTACGTAACTTGACATTCCTGAGCTCGGGCTAGGTGTCAGGTGCAGGCTGGTGCTGTCCCCTACACCAGCTGCCCACATCTGCCACACTCTCAGGACTCTGCCCTGAGAACCCAAACTCGGTTTATTACAAAAGGCTGAGTTTATCACATTGTACTATAAACAGCTCCACCTGAACCCCAAGCTTCAGAGAGGCAGCCTGGGTCGAGGCCCCAACAGCTCCCCTTGCCATCCCCCTCGCCCCTGCATGAAGGTCCTGGGTGGATGGGGGTGTGGAGACCGGGCCCGGGAGCGGTCCTGTTTTTATAACATCAGATGGGTCCAAGGACCCCGCGCACATACATAAAATATACATGTATAAAACACAGGCGATGGCTTCCCTTCCAAGAGGTGTTGCTAGGGTGGGACGGTTGACCCCCACCCTGGGAGAGGAGGAAGTCAGCCGTGGCGGGGAACACGGGTGGGTGCACCAGTCCGAGCGGCCGGTCCGCCTAGGCACCCAGGGGCCTGTGGCCACGGGCCAGTCCTGTCCGGCCCTGGGAGCTCTAGGCCACCTGGATCTGCAGGTCCTCATCCTCATCCAGGTCGCTGGCTCCGTCCCCGGCTTCCTCAGCGCCGAAGCGAGCGCTTCGGATCTTCCCGAAGAGGGGGGCGTTCTGCTGCTGCCTTCGGAGCCTGTGGGGCCGGGTGACAGGACGGTCAGGGGAGTCTGTCAGCTGCAAGCGGCCAAGCCTTCCCTAGCACTTCCCTGCTGCCAGGCCCCAGGCTGGGCCTTTTTCATCCATCACCTCATCACCCATCATCCTCCCAGAAACCACGGAGGTGAGGGAGATGCTACTTCATCCCCGTTTGGCAGACAAGGAAACTGAGGCACAGAGCAGCCAAGTAATCTGCCTAGTCCCCCGGACAATAGTGAGTGAGGCTGGGCTCCACGGTGGGCTGGGGCTGGAGAGGTAAAGTAGCCGCTTAGGGTCATACTGCTGGGATTCGAACCCACGTCAGGCTCCAAAGATCACAGGCAGAGAGTTTGGGGCTGGGGGTCTGAGTCCCCTACCCCCCCAGGGACAGTGAGAAAGTGCTCCGCCCTCGCTCTTCCCCACATTCAAATTCCTAAAGCCAAAATTTACAAGGGCTGGTGGAGGAAATGCCCATCCCCCAGCAAGTGGCTGCCTTGGCTGCATCTTACTGGAAGGCATGAATTATTAACACGGCAGGGAGGGGCCCCGGCGGGGGCCTCCATTACTGGGCCATGATTTAGTGAGCTGTCCCCGGAACATTAAAGCACAAAAAGTTGGAAAATAAAACGAGGCAGCGGTCCTGGGCAGCCCTGCCCTCCCCGTTGGAAGCACTTGAGAGGCTGGGTAGAGCCTGCCTGTCCATTTGGGGAGTTTATGGCTCCCAAAGAATGTGGCCAACACTGCGGGAAAGCCCGGGGCTAGGCGGCCTCTGAGGGGTGTGTGCTGTGGGGGTAGAGTGGCCAGTGCCGGCCATGCCTGGACTGGTGCCTGGGCCCCTGCACAACACTTTATGGGTCTCGTCCCAGGCAGACGGGGAAACTGAGGCCAGGTTGGCCACGTCACATGGCTTCAGGTCTGGCTTCATAGCCTGAATTCCCAGCCATGAAAACTCCACACACGGCAGCACATGGCACGTGCTCAGTAAGTCAGGGCACAGATGGCCAGGGGGCAGTTTGGCCAGAACACTGGTCCACTGTGTGGCCGTGAAGACACCTACCTTCTTAGGCCTGAGTTTCCTCGTCTGCCAGCTCCCTAGAACAAAATATCTTCTACTTCCCTTCTCTCGTAGGAGCATGGTTCTTGAGGCACAACATGGGTCCCAAATATAAGTACCCCCCAACAGCCCCGAGGGGCTCCCCGGGGGCAGAGGCAATAACAGCAGTAGCAGCACTTACTATGTGCCAGGTACTTTTATAAGCCCATTTAACTCACAATAACCGCGAGGTAAGAACTGTATCATCCCCATTTTACAGAGGAGGAAACTGACACAGAGAGTTTAAGCAAGTGACCCAAGCAAGACCACATTGACCACTGACATAGCTACTAAGTGCAGATTCCCACCACCCGGGCAGCCTGGCTGCAGAGCCCGTATCTCTCTGTTCTGTGAAATAATAGGATGCCACTAAGGGCCTGGCTAGGGCCTGGCACAGGAAGTTGGTCAGTATAGTGGTCATGATGCCCTTGGCTGGCGGGGCACCTACGAAGTAGGCAGGGGCTTAGGCTGGGCTCTCTGTTACCTTATGGCCCCGGGGAGAGTGCACAGAGTCCAGGGATGGGGTGGTCAGGGAAGGGATGAAGAGTGCTAGCTGGGTGCCCCAGAGACCCTGAGGTCATCCTTCACTAACGCGGTCGCGTCCTGTCCAGAGCTGATGGGTTGGGTCTACCATCAGGGCCGGGGCTCCTCCATGCTTCCCTGCCTTCCGATTCCTCAGCTCCCAGCTGGCCTGTGGTCACCCCAGCCCGGGGACCTTGGGGGCTGCTTGTTCTTCCTGGCCATGACTCTCCAGACCCTTTGTCCCTGCCCGCTGCCCCACCTAGGACCCGACCTCTTTGGCCGCCCTTCCTTCCCTCTCACCACCCGCCCACCTGCCTGCCAGCAGGTCACAGGAGATGATTCCAGGGCTCCCAGCTGGTCTCACTTCCTGCACTCCCCTTCCCTGGTTTCCTGGCCCTGGCCCTTCCTGCCTGGAGGGGACAGGATTCTGGCCCCAGGGGTCTTGGATCTCTTCCTTCACTGCCTTCCCCTCTAGCAGGAGTTTGGGGCTCCAACCCTGACCGGGAGGAAGTCTCTCTGCCCTGTTTCTGTGCCCCGGCTGGGAATCCTCTCCCCGCTGGCCCTCCTGCTGCACGCCGGGCTCACCTGGACTGCAGATGTTCCAGCTGCACTTGTAGGTTCTCGCTCTGCTCCGTCTGCTCGTCCAGCGACCGCTGCAGCTTCCGTGCCTGGTTGTGGGCCTCGTCCAGCTGGTGGGTGAGCAGGGAAAGAGCGTGAGGGTCACCTTGGGCCAGCCACTCCTGCCATTCCTCTGCCCTCCCCAAGAGCAATCCCTGTCTGTCCATCGAGGCCAAAACCAAGGCCCACCTCCTCCAAGGAAGCATCCCTTTGCTCCTCTCCGTATCTGCTGCGCCCCTGCCTTCCAAGTCTACACGTCTTCCAACACCCCAAGCTACTGATGCAGCTATCAACCCACCTGCCCGTCTCTCCCTGTGGGTCTGTTTATCTGACCATTCAGCCGTGGAATAGCATCTGTCCATGGAGATACCTACCTACCTGCCCACTCACCACTGCTTATTCTACCCGGCCACCCGTCCGCCCTGTCTATCTGCTTCCACTCTCCCAGACCCACCTATTATCCCATCTTTCCATCCTTCTGTCCTTCT